AAAAATGATTTGCACCTTTATCCGACCGAGCGTTCTTAGATATGATGAACTGTATGACATGGAGAAATGTGCCCAATTCATTGCTATGTATATGAGATATGAGCCATTGTACGAAACTGGGCTTAATATTGACAACCAAAATGACATAGTTGAGAATGTTCCAACACTAGTTGTCTCTCCTAAGACCGCGTTGATGTGGCAAACCGGGAACTGTCTTGAGATGAGCATTGTGTTAGTCTCATTGCTTTGCGGTTCGGGTTACAATGCTTTTGTAGTTGTTGGTTATGCACATCCGATTTTGTGTCTTAATGATCATAGCAACGATTTGTTTGAGGATGATTTTTCAGATATACAGACCAACGATGCCGATAGTGACACCCCTGTGGAGGAGAATATTGATTACATTGATTTAGTAAAACAACGTCCTGTACTTCGCAACGTTGATGACCCTGATCCTGAGATGCCGTCTGAAGAAGATATGTCTCTTGAAAATCTATCTAACCACCGCGAAACGGATAAAATAGCGAGCGCTCTTCCAATTAGACCACTACACTCTTGGGTCTTGGTGCTGAAGGGTGGTAGAAGAAACTTAGAAAATCCGACTTTTATTGAGCCAACGACTGGGAAGCTTGTTCCAGTATCGGAAGCGGATCAACACTACTTCGGGATTGAATCTATCTTTAACAATAAAAACTATTACGTGAATATGCGACCAGAGTATCCGGTCAGCTCGTTGTCGATCGATTTGCGTGATTTATCAGAATGGGAAAGCCTTATTCCAATACCAAATGATAACGATAGCCACGACTTAACTACATCAGCGTTACCATCCACTTTAATCCGGCGTGCATTCCATGAATTAGCTCAGGAATCCATATGTTCCACTCAATTTACCGAGATATTTTCCAAATGCAACGTTTCAATTCCTCGCTCTTGGGTACAAGAGTTGATTATAACCCCTGAACAGTATATAAGTCGCTTTCCAGGGAACTGCAAGGAATTCAAATACTCCAATACAACCGTTCGCTTCTTTGCTGAGTATTCTCAACCGGATCTTTGCGTTAAAGAAGTTTATCTAAAGGATACCGAAAAGGATAATCTCGAGAAGATTCAGCTTTTTTATAAACATCGAGCCGATAAACTGCAGAGACGTAGTTTGATCAGTCAGGGAAACTTAGATATTGATATTAAACACATTAATGAAACCTGCCATATTTTGAGCTTACCTCCAAACTTCGTTCTGATGGAATTGTATGAAAGGGGCCGCATGCGCAGTCCTTTTATCGATGGTCTTCATGTGCTTATTTTCAAACCAGGCGAAGAAAGAACTATGAAGTTCTACTCCAAGGTTCGTGAAGATGGCCTATATAAACGTATTGAGCTCTTCTACGACAGTCATTCCATCAAGAAGATCAAAGAGTATTACAAAGGTCGCACCGATCGTTTATGCTACCGAAGCATTTCCTTTGCTAAGCCAGAAGATCTATCTGATATATATCTACACGAGAATCTTGTGAACATGGGGTACGGATCTAGCATAAGTGAATTCCCTCGACTAGGGCCGATCCGGCTTAGCCAGAAGTTCCTAAGCAATGAAGAGATCCCTTTATACAAAGATGTTGCGAAGGTCATCTTTACATGCCCTGCTTCGTCGAAGGAGGGCCCTGGAGAAATGAAAGTGTTTTTTCATTACTCCGAAGGCAGCATCATCCGGCCGTTTCACGTGTTTACCAAGGTGGCCTCAAGCGTGGAGGACTACATCGCGGCGTCGGCATCCAAGATGCCTTCTGATCTCCCGGTAAAAATAACCACCGTCCCCGGGCAGGACCTACCCAGCGACCTGGAGCTGTACACGGAGCGAAAATGGCTTTCGACGATGGAGTCGGAATGCTTGGCGGAGGTCCGTGCGAAACTCGAGGAGCACCTTAGCCTTCTTCACACCCTGGATAAGGATCACCAGAATGTCGAACGCGTGCTCAGCACCTACGATACGCTACGCAACCGCACGAACGAAACGGAGGCCGAGCTTGCGCTGAAGCTCGCTGAGCGTGTGAGAAAGGAGGAATCCCAAAAGGATTATCTCGCTCCGTACATTGCTAAACTCAAGCTACTTTCCAATTTCGATGGAAATTATCTCTCTGTCAAGCTCAACGCAGAGCAAGCGAAGCAAGTTCGGGATGCTGCATTATCGGAGCAGAAGGAACGCCTCATTCAACGTGGTCAGATTATGCAAATGAGAATCGATAAAGAGAAGGATGAGTTTAACAAACGCCAACAACTTTACAAGAAGAGAATTAATGCATCTGCCATCGAGGGGGGCAAAGAGGCAGAGGAATTTGCAGCTTATTGTAAAGAAGCAACAAGTAGGATAAAGGTTGTTGATGAGCGCCTAGCGAAACATGTTGACCAGGCAAGTGAGAAGTATGAGCGACTTGCACAGCGACTTGCAGAGGATCCTCGACTATCGGCTTTATACTCACGTTCTGGGGAGGAGTTGTAGAAATAGTGTAATATCGTTTTTCCTATTGACACATTGATGTATGTATATTTATTTAGCACTTAAAGAAATGAAAAGATGTTTAATTTTTTTTTCCTGACCAAGCTATAGTGCCTCAAAAGTGATATTTCTGCATCTGTATTTCCATGTATCTTTAGTTGTGCTTTTGTGTGTATCATCTATCCACTGATACCAGTCAAGAGGAGTGATACAGTATTCCGGTGCAAAAATTTTGATCACATGTATAATACTCTGGTATGATTCTTTGCTTTTCCTTTAAAATCATCAAGTTTTATATATTTTTTTCTTCTTTGCGTTGAATTCTTTTCCGTGAATAATCATGACAAAAGTTACTTAGATCAAATCAAGTTTATCGAAGCTTCCATTGAAAGTATGAAAATAGCAGACCTAAATGGTCATTTGAATAAATAAAACAGCGCAAGAAACGGTTAACACCTCCCACTTGTTTTTACAACGGTATCTCTTTCCTTCTTTGCAGGCCAGTTTCAAACGCCGCATTACACAAAAACGTGTGTTATATGTGATCCGTATTTGTCGTTTTAGAGCACGAATGAGTTTTATACCATTTTAAAAAAAATCTACGTGGAGTAGTGTTAAGATATTTCTATAAGAGAAGCATTCTAAGATGATGGTAGAGAACAAAGGCCAAGGCTCAAAGGGTGTTTTAAGGTCTATTTCCAACTCCAAATCATTTTCAATATGATCAAAACTTCATTAGTGACTTTAAAGGTTCGAATTCCTCTGATACTGGCATATATAACAACACTCATTGTTACTTCACACTTTTTCCATTATTAAGTCCTCTGTAGCGATGCCGTACACCCCAACTAATATATCTGGTGAAAGGTATTGAGGAGGCTAACGATAAGTATTAGTAATTGTCATCCTACAGCAAGTTTTTCGGGACAATTCTCCAGACAACACTTACCATACATCGAATTTTAAGATACCGTTTACTTGAATAAGGAAAGTAAAAACGTTATATTGCCTTTTTTCACCTTCTACAAAAATTTAAGCCTAATGTCATTATTTTTGTACAAAAAGTGGAAATGATATGTGAACTTTAAGACACATATTTATTCCCTTTCTTCGAAATGCGATCAAAGAAGAAAATTATTTTTACTTGTAATCTCACCTTATCTAAAAATGACTGAACTTAACGGTGTTAGTGACTCCTACTTTTTTTTTCCATTTAGGTTGAAGTTTTTTTACCTGTTTCATATTTTTACTTAAAGAGACAGAATAAATATTTCATTTTTGATAACTTATCATCCTTATGAATGAGGTTCGTTGCTGTTTTTGCATCTTCTCCTTCTCTTGCCAAGCTTCGTTCGGTGGAGTTTATCGAGGTAGCACGCACACTACATATCGATATCACTGTCGTGGATGATTTTGATTGGCTTCAGGGTGATGAAAATAATGTGTTTTGTGTCTTTGATAGTAATAGCGCTCAAAAAGATGATATTAGAAAACGGATCGAACAGATAGCAAGCCGATGCATTCTTCTACGGGGAATATATGTACTTCTGCAGGGTGCCCCAAGTCTAGAGGTCCTCATTCAATGGTGTCTTGATCGGAAGTCTGGGGTCTCCGACACGGAAGCAACACCAGCTGTTCTTCTTGGCGAAAACGAAGACCAATTCTCTCATTGTTGCTTTTGTTATGAAGTAGAGACTATCGGTAAAAAATATAGCATGGATGAAAAAAAGAAGATTATGGACTTTTTCGTTAGTCGACGCTCCAAAGCGAATGGATCACCATCTATTGTAGATTATAAATCCCCAACTTATCGTTTTTTTATCATGATTCAGCATTCTGTTTCGGACGCGCCACCTAGATCACAGGGACCATGGAAGTCAGATGGCCCTGTGGAACGTGTTTTTCACGTCCTTCATCTGTGCGAATCTAACCGATGCCAGATGCTCGGAAAGTATGACCTCAAGAAGCGGCCGTACATCGGTACGACCTCCATGCCACCCGAAGAGGCCATTGCGATGGCAAATATATGCGGTATTCAAGCAGCTCACTACGTCTGTGATCCTTTCTGTGGGACTGGCAGTTTGCTCGTTGCCGCGGCTCATTGTGGGGCTCACACAATCGGCATGGACGCCGACGGCCGTACAATGCGAAGCGGCAGTCAGAAGGTCTCTTCTAGTTTACAAATGCAGCAGCAACGCAAATTAGCGCTCAGTGTTTACTCAGAGGAAGAGTTATCCGTCCTGACACCTGAGGAGCGCCTCCTGCCGTCCATGAAATCAAACTTCAGACTATACGGATTACGTCCACCCGAGTGCATACGCATGAACTTCTCAAACTGGAAGAGTTGTTTTCGAGGGGTTGAAAATTTTGACGTGATTCTAAGTGATCCCCCCTACGGCCTTCGTGAGCCACGTAAAAGGATCGAGAAGATGGGCCATTCCTCACCCTCTTCCGAGTATCCTGATGACTTCAAAGGTGGATCGGCCAAGTTCCTAGTATCATCCTATAGCACCCATGAGGTCGCGCTGGATTTGGTGTTGTTTGCGGCCGAGCACTTGCGTGTGGGGGGCCGCCTGGGGTTCTGGTTCCCCACCACCGATCACTATACCCGTGATGAGCTCCCGCGGCATCCCTGCCTGGAGCTCGAGGACGACCGTCCGCAACGCCTTTCCCTCAAGGTCGTTCGCCGATTGGTCGTCCTGCGTAAAGTAGCCCCCATGCCAGCGCGCCCTGTTACACGCGAGGACTGCGTGCCACTCCAAATCCCTGAGGACCTACGGCAGCTGATGGATCGCACTTCCCTTCCCGATAACAAGGACTATACCCATTACCGCGCCAAGGTGCTCCGCAAACGTCAGGCCTCCAGTCGGTTTCGCGCCGAAAGGGCGCTCGGTTCCGAAGCTCGGGAACCCCCAGAGGGACGCCCAGCAGGGGTGGACGATGGCCCGCTACAATCAATCAAGTGCAGCGAAGAGAATGAGGGTGTGACCCACCACCAGAAAAAGGGTAAGCCGATATCGCAAGAAATGATCGTTACCAACCGCGAGAAAAATATTCGAATTCGTAAAGAAAAGCAAATAGCTTCTCATATCGAAAATGCATTAGCTTCTGCGCACGCTTCCCAAGCCCGAGTCCAAATGAATACGACGAATCATAAATGAATGGACATTTAAATCCTCCTCGGGGTTGAAGAATGCCTTGCTTTCTATAATTACTGCCGTCAATAATCTTCATTCTTAGGGGGTCCATTTTCACATTGTTTTCAGAGCAAACAAAATCCATAAATAAATAACATGCTCGACAATATTCTAATACATAAGCGTTTAAATGTTCACAGGTTCATTGAAATCGAATCATAGGTTGTAAATGAATTTTGTTTTGTGCTTTGTTTCGGCTTAGCTCAGAACGAAAAATCTGAAGCAGCTCTGAATTTCAGCCATAAAGAAAGTGTATCAAAAAAATGACAAATCTACAATAGACTTTTCGCACTGAATCTTTTTTGTATCTACATGTTCTATTTTCTACCTAAATATTTATTGCACTCCTTTTTTTTTCATTCCTTTCTTTGATTTAATATTCTGTCGAAAATTTATTCACATTTTTTTAATCGGATACCCGTATTATAGATTAGAAAATCCTCTATACGCAAAAAAAGGCGAAATATGGGGGATCAAAATATCCATGAAACCACTAGCCAAGTTCTAGGAAATGTAAACAACAACAACCATGATGACCGTATGATTAATATTAAACCAAACAGAGAAGAACCAACTTCATCTATGTCTTCTGAGCCTATGGATGAGGATGTATGTGCAGTTTGTTTAGAAAAGCCTGCAGAAGGTTGCTGTATCAGGCTATGGTGTTGCAGTAACGTGTTATGTGTAAATGATGCTCAGCAGGTTAGTCGATGTCCTCTTTGTCGTATGGTGCCCTTGGTGTGGGACATTGTGAAGTAAAGAAATGCATAGCAACAAGTAATTCTAACCATAACAGGTAAGTTAAATTTACAAGACCTTTCAAGAGTACAGTGTCTTCTTTCCTATAAACGGTTCCGACGAGGTAAAAAATAAAAAAAAATAATTTATTACTATAATAGTTGGAAGTAAATGTCAATTAAAAGATATGCACATAGCTATATATGTACTGTGAAAAAAAGCATTTGATGGTTGCCTTCAACTAATGGAAGTTCAGGTGAATCGCACCATATCATATAAAAATTGGGCATATATTGTATGTTTCCCAAACGGTAGTCCTAAACAGGCTACCTCGAGGTGAAAATGACCAGCGCTCATTTTTTCTTTCCTTATTCCATTTTAGTAGTCAAGTATGTTTTTGCTGTATAACACAGAGCCTTTATTGTCATGGTCATCAAAGGTAAGAGACATTTTTAATATTCTTGGTCGAAAAAAGATGTACTAAACATGGAATTGATATTTTTCAATATAATAATTTTTAAACTAGCAGTGACTATATTATAGGGTTCGGGAAAGCTTCGACGAACTTTTAATTAGATTCAACAAAAAATGAATTTCAAAAAAAAATCTAATATGTAGTTTTCTATAGAAAACATGCTTATTGTTATCCTCTTTTGCGTGTTGCTCCAGTTGAGTGCATTTTTTTCATAAATACGATCTACTCGAATGAAATGAGCTAATTTCTGGGGCTGCATTATACTTTTGGATGTGTTGTATGAATTTTTTTTTTTGCGTATGTGAAGATAAGAAAGCAAGAATCTGATTTGACTCAAGGCGCCACATAATAGCATGGTACCTAAACAATAAATTTTATTATATTTATTGAAAATTATGGAAACATGAAGTGTTTCCTTTTTTTTTGCTGTACTTTATTTTTACTCCAAAAATATCTGTACATAGATATCTTCTTAGTGATCCTTAACGCTATAAATTCTTTTTGTTGCTGTCGTTGGTGACTGACCTTGTGTGTCATGTTAAATTCTTTAGTATTTTTTTCTTCGATTTCTTATACATTATGCCATGATTATCACCATCAAGTAGTTTTAGAGGCACATCTGGATAAGAAGTCAAAGGCAACATTAGGAAGTTATCGTAGTATCTTTTTTATTAACCACTGAAGCTACAATAGAGGCACAGTGTGTTAATTTTTCAGTGAGTAGTTTTACTAATACATCATTTAGGAAAAATTTAGCGTGTTGACGGATGCTTAGGGCAGCAGGATTTCTTTCGCGTAGTGTTATGCTCTTGGAGCGCATACATGGTGGTTTGAAGGATCAGGATCGCATATTTACAAACCTTTATAATGACTTTGGAACCGATATCGAGGCAGCTGAAAGACGTGGTGACTGGTACCGGACCAAAGATTTCATCCTCAAAGGACACGATTGGATTGTCAATGAAATCAAAGCGAGTGGGCTGCGGGGCCGGGGTGGTGCCGGTTTCCCGTCTGGCTTGAAATGGTCGTTTATGCCGAAGAAAAAACCGGATGACCGACCAAGCTACATTGTTGTAAATTGTGATGAATCAGAACCAGGTACTTGTAAGGACCGTGAGATTATGCGGCACGAACCCCATAAGCTCGTGGAGGGGTCCCTCATTGCTGGTTTTGCAATGCGGGCTCGGTACGGGTACATTTATATTCGTGGCGAGTTCTATAACGAGTACCGCGCAGTCGATAGGGCGATTCACGAAGCTTACAGCAAAGGTTATCTGGGTAAGAACGCTTGCGGCAGCGGCTGGGACTTTGACCTTTACACTTATTGTGGTGCAGGTGCGTATATTTGTGGTGAAGAGACCGCTATGATTATGAGCCTGGAAGGTGGTCCAGGCAAGCCACGACTGAAGCCACCTTTCCCAGCCAACGTTGGACTTTACGGCTGCCCGACGACTGTCACAAACTGCGAAACGGTATCCGTTTCCCCCACAATTCTGCGTAGAAGCCCGGGGTGGTTTGCCTCGTTCGGGCGCAAGAATAACGCGGGCGTGAAGTTGTTCTGCATCTCAGGACACGTCAACCGGCCTTGCACGGTCGAGGAGGAGATGAGTATCCCGCTACGAGATTTAATTGAGCGGCACGCTGGGGGTGTCCGGCAGGGATGGGATAATTTGTTGTGCGTCATCCCAGGCGGATCGTCGTGCCCGTTAATTCCTAAACACATCTGCGACAACGTTTTAATGGACTATGACGACTTGAAGCGATACGAAACGGGTCTCGGAACGGCAGCGGTGATAGTCATGGACAAGTCCACGGATGTCATCAACGCCATTGAACGGCTTTCACAGTTCTACCAGCACGAATCCTGTGGGCAGTGCACGCCATGTCGCGAAGGTGCCCCTTGGCTGGAGAAAATGATGAGGCGTTTTGTGAATGGAAACGCCAAAAAGGAGGATGTCTACACCATGTGGGACGTGTCGAAACAGATCGAAGGTCGTTCCATCTGTGCTCTCGGCACGGCTGCCGCGTGGCCCGTGCAGGGCCTTATTCGTCATTTCGAACCGTTGCTGCATGAACGGATTGAGAAGTTTTGGTCTGCAAACCCGCACTGGGGCAAGGCCGGTGGTCCGTGGCGTCGATGGAAGACGCATCGCTACTATACCATGCAAAAGGGTGACAAGCTGAATTGGGATGGAAAGATTGTGCGGAACTGGAACTAGTTGCTTCTCGCTTTAAACTGAAGTTATTGGGTCGGTCGCAGGACTAGTATTTTCTTTTCTCAAATTATAAAGTTATATTGGGTAAGTGGAGGAACTTATGAATATATCAATAACCTGAGGTCGTTATGTAGGTTTTTATTAGTTTGTTTTCTATATCAAGACTTAGTGCAGGTAGATTCCCTTTAGTACCCATTTAGAATATTACTTACGAGAACAATCATAATGATTTGTTTCCAATCGTTAGTACCGACTCTTTTTTTTCAATTTTCCTCAAGAATAATTACAGCACATAGGAGTCTATTTGTGCTACTTTTTTAAATTTTTATTTTATCTTCTGAACTTATTATGCTTCTTGCATTCATCGATCTATTTATTTTATTAGCTTAACCAACTTGATATCATTTATATGACCTTTCCAGAAAGGGATTCGACTTTCATTGTTCCTTATAACAATTCATTTTTTTCATTTTTGAATTAACATAAATAGATATGTATATCGAAGCTGTATTGGAGCAATCAACTACACGCAAAAGTCTATTGGTGTAATTAACTTTACCTTCTCCAAAAAGAGACAGTCTATATTGCCATAGACTCTCTCTTAAATTTTTTTCCTGGAGCCGTAAGGGTAAGGCTGAACCATGATATCAACGTTTCTGTAGAGGTTACAAAGATTTACTGTGCTCTTCTGGCTTGGAGGCTTTGCAGCGTGGTACAATTTTCAACGCATTTATTTCAGTGTCCCGTACTGCGTTATTTTAAAAAGAGCAGAGTACATACTAGGCTCAGTAAAAAGGGATGACATAATCATCAAGTGTGCACTAAGGCGCATGCAATTTTTTCGACATGATATTTAAAAGAAATCTAGTTCTTTTTTTTACTCTTGCCTTTAACTCTGAATCAAAGATTCACACCTCAGTATCTCATAGTTTAACTTGTGCATAGATTATCTCTTATGCTTATATTTTGAGTGATTTAGGGGTTACATCGTTTTGTTACGCGCACTTATTTCGTTGTTTAGATGGAGGAATACAAAACTACTGTAGATGACACCCCGTTGCTGGTAAATTTTTTGCGCCTCATCCGCAACGGGCGCCAAGAGCAATGCGATGTTCTTTCTTTTAACCCCGGCAGCCTTGTTTCCTTTCACTTCGGTGGTCTAAAGATGCTTGATTTAGGTGCTTTCACTGAAGCTGAAGATCTGTGGTCCACTTTGGCCAAAAAGGCATCTTCTGAGGGTCCCTGGGGGACGGAAGGTTCGACCTTTGAAGGTCCACTTTACTTAGTTGTAACTTACGATGATGTTGTCATAGAGCAATGGGAGTTGGTGGACTATCGTAACGCGAACTTCGAAAACTCCATTCCGTTCAGCTGCGATCAGCTTGAAGAGTTAAACACGCTGGTGCGCATCATCTACATCTATCTACGAGTGAATAATATCCGACGGTACGTGCCGCAGAGTCTGCTTCAGGGCGATGTGAACAAGTGCTTAGGCCCTAATAATCCACTCCAGAATGCAGAAGGTGTCTCAAACACCGAAAACGTCGCTGTGAAGGACACCAGTGTGAAGCAGTTCCTAAATACCATTCATGGCAGCAAGGAGGAATTCCCAAAGCTTGATATGGTATACACTCGCACACAACGATGGTGCATTGCAGATCTTATCTGTATCACTGTCACCACCAATGCGCTCGCACGCACGCAACTCCTTATGCAAGGGAAGCAAAGTATCCAACAGTCAAACTCACCGGTGAGGCCGGATTTCACAGAGATACATCGTTCACCCCGAAGAGATAACTTTACAACACAAGGTAAGGTAATTGAATGCACCTCAGCTACCCCGAGGGCTCTCATAGTTTCGCCAGTAATGTGTGCCGACCTAACCGCTCGTGACCGGGCGACATCATCCCCAAGTGGCTCCTTAAAGTCCCAGTGCACGCCCTCCTTGGTGCCCGCTGCTGCCTTGATCCCAACTTGTGTGATGCTCTCGCCGTCGTTGCTCCCTCGACTCCCATCCAACCGCATGGCGCCGCTTTCCTTACCACAGGTGGGCTGTGGTGTCCTAACATCCATAGCCATCAAGTCCTCAACCCCGCGAGAAACGCAAGGCATAAGGAGCCCGCAGCCGCACAAAATCGGTACCTTAGGTAGGGCCCCGAGCTTGGACGCACCGCTTATTCATACAGAGGTTAATACCGCCGCGCCGCCAGATTTTGTTCGACAAATGTCGACCGCATTGTTTCCTGCAAAACACATAAAGATCCCACAGCAGCGGTTGCCGCGCTCGGCGGGTATCGTGCTCGATACCATGGCTGCACTGCCCCTTCGTCATGATGATGAGGATTATGAGGATCATGAGGAAGGCTCGATGGGCGATAGCGGTGCACTGCACGCCGACACCGACACAGGAGGGTCAACTTTTGAATTGTTGGAGCTCGCGCAGCGCATGCATACATCGCGCTCTGCAGCCCAGTGGTTCCCGCTAAGGGACTTAGTGCTACCATTAAACCTTGAGTAAATCGCTACTAATTAATGTAGAATAAGGGGAGGGAATGCAAAGATGGGGACAACTATCAAAAAAATGCCTTTTTTTATACCCAAAATATCTGTTGACTGTTTTTGTTGTTATACAATTTCCTGGGTTGGATTTAACTTGTGAAATGGAACGTTTTACTTCGCATTTTATCTTTATTGATTAGCGATGAAATTTAGTTTTGTGGACGCACATGTCGTGTAAGTAAAAAATGTGCAATAATTTTTGCATTACGTAGTGTTAGAATAATGATGATTCATTATCATATTACTCTCTCTCTCTTTTTTTTTTACTTTCACAAGAGCGTTGAACGATACGCACTTTCAAAAAGGG